TTTTAGACGGTAAAACCTTCACCTCAAATGAGGAGGTCAAAAACCTCCTCGATCAGTTTTTTGCCAGCAAAGACCAAAAATTTTATGAGCGTGGAATTATGCTACTACCAGAAAGATGGCAAAAGGTGTTGGACCAGAACGGTCAATATATAATTTAATAAAGTATTTGTTTATTATACGAAAACTGTCTTTCATTTCCACAAAAAAAAACGAAATGACTTTCCGAACAACCCTATACATTAGATTACTGTTCACAAATAGTTAAGGATATGTTCCAGTTTTAAGGAAATGCGATTATTCGCTCGGAATAGGAAACAGTGCTTACTTATTTGCCTTTGTCACCCGTATTAATTGGAAAAAAGTTTGTTAAGCGTGAAAGATCAGAGCCGAATTAGGGTTGCAAATAATTTTATTGATGTAAAATCAACATCAATCATTTTATATCAAAATACTCACAACCCCATTTTGTTTTTGATCTTTTACGTATTGTAATAAAAGAAAGAACTGGAATCCATAGTTTCTTTAGCTTTGGGTTCATCTAATAGGTGAAGTTTTTCGAATCGCTCTTTCTATGAATTTTGGATTATAATCATTTACTAGCACACCACAATATCTTCTAGTTTTCAGATGGAACCACCAACAACATTATTTATCTCCTTCCGCGTTAGACTTCCTAGAGATATCCTAAAAGCGGGTATGATGGTTATGATTTCAAAATCTGAAATAGACCTCACGTATCCCAAATCTTACCGTTCAATTTCTCTAGTTAATAAAACCGAAAAAAAATTTGAAAGGATTGTCGCTATACATCTTTCGGATTACTGCAGGGACAATAATATTGTATCTGACATACAGAGCAAGTTACGAAAGGGACTTACTCCCTTTGACCCGGAACTCAAATTACTTATAAACTGACGTTATTTCCTCAATGAATATACGATTCTTAAAAATATTCCCGGACAACGTTTCTGTCACCTGGAGAGTCCTTCACTATCAACTGGACAATCCTTGAACGAGATACTCCACAAAAAGGTCCGACGTATTAGGAAGATTTTAAAACGTGATTACAATTTCTATATTACTTTTATGTTGTTTTCTCCTTTTTCTAATTTTGCTAATTAGTACACGGCGTGACATTATTAGATGAATTTCTAAAATGAATCAAGGCTCTTAATGATGAGGTCATTATCACATTTAATCCATTGAATTAAAGATAAGATAGTAGCGAACACCGCTTCTATAGGTACTTTTCGTAAATTTTCACAAAGCAAGTTGTGTTATTTATATTGCAATCATGAACATATATAATACTAAGAAATTGCAACGTAAATAGCGATTTCGTTGAAGTTCACTGTCTGGATAGCATTCATACCTACAATTAGATACAATCAACCAATATTTTTGTTCTGATAAAGTCCCATTTGTTGACAATGTTAATTCCAATGTAATTAAACGACTTAGGTTAAACCATATGAATAATGAAGAGAAAAATAAAATTATTAAACTCTATAAAAAAATCAGTGCTATTTTTTGCAAATTAACTGTTAGATTAATCAGTGTTTACGATTTTTTATGTTTGTGTAGTGTATTGTCAATCCACATTTCATGAAAAGCCCCCAATCCACGCTCCTTGTAGTGGGTTCGTCGCGGCCTGGAGCATCCTAAGGGTTTCTTTGGATTTTCTTCACGGGAGCGGCAGGCGCACGAAATGCCGATCCTCCCCCTACGCCCCGTGTAACATGACCTTTAGACGGCGCGTGAATTTTCAATCCATGCAACGGCTGTCTGAAGCGGGTAGGCGCGTCTTAGCGCGTTTTTTGGTTTCTTTTCACGGTGACGGTGAGCGTGAAGTTTATCAATTACGTTCCGGGGTTGACGCAGTCTGGAGCGTGAAATAACGTCCTGACGTACCGCGCCGACCCCGTTGCACGGAACGTGGATTGCCGCTCCGCGCGCCGTGTAAATTGGCCCTTAGTCCGTAGCAATTTTTGGTTTCTCTCCGATTTATGCTTGGGACCATGATTGTAAAAATAGTTCAATAAACCATTTCAAGAATATAACATGATCAACAAAAATTAACCGTGATGCACTATATTAGGACAACCAACGACATACCTGTTTATCACAAGAATTTTCGTTACCCTCAATAACATACAGATTAAATAGAAAATCAAGTAAAAATAATACTTAACGACAATGTATTTAGACATTCTATTTCTCCTTACGCTTCTCCTGTGTGGATAGTCTCAAAAAAGATGGATGCTTCAGCTTTTGTGAACTTAACAAATGAATAATTGAAGATAAATATTTGTAGATTTCTCGTTGTCTACAGGAAAGAGAGTAAAGATGTTTCATCCCGAGAGCGCGCCTGGACTCATCAGTAAGGCTGACGACGTGCTCTCTNGTCTCAAAAAAGATGGATGCTTCAGCTTTTGTGAACTTAACAAATGAATAATTGAAGATAAATATTTGTAGATTTCTCGTTGTCTACAGGAAAGAGAGTAAAGATGTTTCATCCCGAGAGCGCGCCTGGACTCATCAGTAAGGCTGACAACGTGTTCTCTGCCTCTGACATCTGAAGACCTGTGGAGTGTGTGGCGCGAACTGGCGCGGGATAATTAGATTCATTAGGAAAATGTACATATTATATTACTTTAGGACCTACCTACCCCCCAGTTCTTACAAATCTCTCTCCATATAGACAGTATTGAAAATACCAGCTCCTTCCACTGACAACGGTCATCTCGAATGTACGAGGGTGGATTGATAAGTTTCCGGCCTAACCAAGAGATGACGCCACTAGGCCTACCTTGAGGTGACATTCTATAGTACCATCCTTGGATAGCTTGTAGCTATAGTTTCAGCCCGATCTCCTTGCTAGTGTAGGTTTGACAGCACGCTGAACAAGACGCCTCTGTGGTTTTCGTAAAAATGGNATTAGATTACTGTTCACAAATAGTTAAGGATATGTTCCAGTTTTAAGGAAATGCGATTATTCGCTCGGAATAGGAAACAGTGCTTACTTATTTGCCTTTGTCACCCGTATTAATTGGAAAAAAGTTTGTTAAGCGTGAAAGATCAGAGCCGAATTAGGGTTGCAAATAATTTTATTGATGTAAAATCAACATCAATCATTTTATATCAAAATACTCACAACCCCATTTTGTTTTTGATCTTTTACGTATTGTAATAAAAGAAAGAACTGGAATCCATAGTTTCTTTAGCTTTGGGTTCATCTAATAGGTGAAGTTTTTCGAATCGCTCTTTCTATGAATTTTGGATTATAATCATTTACTAGCACACCACAATATCTTCTAGTTTTCAGATGGAACCACCAACAACATTATTTATCTCCTTCCGCGTTAGACTTCCTAGAGATATCCTAAAAGCGGGTATGATTTCAAAATCTGAAATAGACCTCACGTATCCCAAATCTTACCGTCCAATTTCTCTAGTTAATAAAACCGAATAAATTTTGAAAGAATTGTCGCTATACATCTTTCGGATTACTGCAGGGACAATAATATTATATCTGACATACAGAGCAAGTTACGAAAGGGACTTACTCCCTTTGACCCGGAACTCAAATAACTTACAAACTGACGTTATTTCCTCAATGAATATACGATTCTTAAAAATATTCCCGGACAACGTTTCTGTCACCTGGAGAGTCCTTCACTATCAACTGGACAATGCTTGAACGAGATACTCCACAAAAAGGCCCGACGTATTGGGAAGATTTTAAAACCTGATTACAATTTCTATATTACTTTTATGTTGTTTTCTCCTTTTTCTAATTGTGCTAATTAGTACACGGCGTGACATTATTAGATGAATCAAGGCTCTTAATGATGAGGTCATTATCACATTTAATCCATTGAATTAAAGATAAGATAGTAGCGAACACCGCTTCTATAGGTACTTTTCGTAAATTTTCATAAAGCAAGTTGTGTTATTTATATTGCAATCATGAACATATATAATACTAAGAAATTGCAACGTAAATAGCGATTTCGTTGAAGTTCACTGTCTGGATAGCATTCATACCTACAATTAGATACAATCAACCAATATTTTTGTTCTGATAAAGTCCCATTTGTTGACAATGTTAATTCCAATGTAATTAAACGACTTAGGTTAAACCATATGAATAATGAAGAGAAAAATAAAATTATTAAACTCTATAAAAAAATCAGTGCTATTTTTTGCAAATTAACTGTTAGATTAATCAGTGTTTACGATTTTTTATGTTTGTGTAGTGTATTGTCAATCCACATTTCATGAAAAGCCCCCAATCCACGCTCCTTGTAGTGGGTTCGTCGCGGCCTGGAACATCCTAAGGGTTTCTTTGGATTTTCTTCACGGGAGCGGCAGGTGCACGAAATGCCGATCCTCCCCCTACGCGCCGTGTAACATGACCTTTAGACGGCGCGTGAATTTTCAATCCATGCAACGGCTGTCTGAAGTGGGTAGGCGCGTCTTAGCGCGTTTTTTGGTTTCTTTTCACGGTGACGGTGAGCGTGAAGTTTATCAATTACGTTCCGGGGTTGACGCGGTCTGGAGCGTGAAATAACGTCCTGACGTACCGCGCCGACCCCGTTGCACGGAACGTGGATTGCCGCTCCGCGCGCCGTGTAAATTGGCCCTTAGTCCGTAGCAATTTTTGGTTTCTCTCCGATTTTTGCTGGGGACCATGATTGTAAAAATAGTTCAATAAACCATTTCAAGAATATAACATGATCAACAAAAATTAACCGTGATGCACTATATTGGGACAACCAACGACATACCTGTTTATCACAAGAATTTTCGTTACCCTCAATAACATACAGATTAAATAGAAAATCAAGTAAAAATAATACTTAACGACAATGTATTTAGACATTCTATTTCTCCTTACGCTTCTCCTGTGTGGATAGTCTCAAAAAAGATGGATGCTTCAGCTTTTGTGAACTTAACAAATGAATAATTGAAGATAAATATTTGTAGATTTCTCGTTGTCTACAGGAAAGAGAGAAAAGATGTTTCATCCCGAGAGCGCGCCTGGACTCATCAGTAAGGCTGACGACGTGCTCTCTGCCTTGGACATCTGAAGACCTGTGGGGTGTGTGGAGCGAACTGGCGCGAGAAATACAGGTCGCCACATATTCGTCATCACGAATTAAAGGCGTATTAGATTCATTAGGAAAATGTACATATTACATTACCTTAGGACCTACCCCTCCCCCCCAGTTCTTACAAATCCCTCTCCATATAGACAGTATTGAAACAAAAACCGAACTTCCTACTGACAACGGTCATCTCGAATGTTTACATATGTCGTACGGACTTAAAAACGCACTGACTAAGTACATTTTGAAGAAATAAAACATTGCAAAATAGATCCTTATTGATGACCACTACAAACGATAAGGAATGCAAATACGGTTCCGGTTCTAACATAATCGACTATGATGAAGGTATTTATAACATGAAATAAAATTTAATTATTTTTATACAGAGCCATGCGCTTCGCCAATAAATCTATCATCATTGATCATACGTAGTTAGCATAATCAACAAAAAATTTTTTTTATTCGCATAAATACTTAGTATCTATTAATTAAAACTCAAGAATCATATTAACTTGACTGATATGGACAAAGTCAAAGTTTTAGTTGTAATAATTGCTATGCATTTTACTCTCAAACGTTCATTATTTTTTTTAATTGAATAATACACTTTGTGTTGTATATTAATTATTAATTCTTGAAAATGTTTTGACCTAACCGAGGTCGAAAGAAAAGTAATTAATTACAATTGAAAAGTTAGTGGTCTTTTAATTTGATTGATATCATCAGATTAAATTACAAATCAAACGGGAGAATTGTATGATAACGCATAAGATCGCCGAGAATGTCGGATTCGCCTTGAAGTGTATGAATCAAATAACATGTTTAATTCCCTTCACGACTAGAAGATAAAGGCTATGCAATTCCACTTACTTTTTTTTATCGTCATCATAAAGTCGTCAGTCCTAAGACTGGTTAAACTAGAACAATCCATATCCTTAACTATCTGCGAACAGTAATCTAATTAAGGTCTACCTCTACCCCTCCTAACTTCCGTTTCTGCCTCTAATACGTCTCTGACTAGACCTTCATGTCTGAGAAGGTGTCCTATTAACCTATCTCGCCTATTTCTTACTTACTTCCATGGAGTCCTCTGTTCTCCTACTCTTTCTAATACCTCTTCATTTCATACCTTCTCTATCCACGGTATCCTCATTATTCGCCTGTAACACCATATTTTTGGAACACTTCTAACCTTTTCTTTACCGCCGCNTCCTTGTAGTGGGTTCGTCGCGGCCTGGAACATCCTAAGGGTTTCTTTGGATTTTCTTCACGGGAGCGGCAGGTGCACGAAATGCCGATCCTCCCCCTACGCGCCGTGTAACATGACCTTTAGACGGCGCGTGAATTTTCAATCCATGCAACGGCTGTCTGAAGTGGGTAGGCGCGTCTTAGCGCGTTTTTTGGTTTCTTTTCACGGTGACGGTGAGCGTGAAGTTTATCAATTACGTTCCGGGGTTGACGCGGTCTGGAGCGTGAAATAACGTCCTGACGTACCGCGCCGACCCCGTTGCACGGAACGTGGATTGCCGCTCCGCGCGCCGTGTAAATTGGCCCTTAGTCCGTAGCAATTTTTGGTTTCTCTCCGATTTTTGCTGGGGACCATGATTGTAAAAATAGTTCAATAAACCATTTCAAGAATATAACATGATCAACAAAAATTAACCGTGATGCACTATATTGGGACAACCAACGACATACCTGTTTATCACAAGAATTTTCGTTACCCTCAATAACATACAGATTAAATAGAAAATCAAGTAAAAATAATACTTAACGACAATGTATTTAGACATTCTATTTCTCCTTACGCTTCTCCTGTGTGGATAGTCTCAAAAAAGATGGATGCTTCAGCTTTTGTGAACTTAACAAATGAATAATTGAAGATAAATATTTGTAGATTTCTCGTTGTCTACAGGAAAGAGAGAAAAGATGTTTCATCCCGAGAGCGCGCCTGGACTCATCAGTAAGGCTGACGACGTGCTCTCTGCCTTGGACATCTGAAGACCTGTGGGGTGTGTGGAGCGAACTGGCGCGAGAAATACAGGTCGCCACATATTCGTCATCACGAATTAAAGGCGTATTAGATTCATTAGGAAAATGTACATATTACATTACCTTAGGACCTACCCCTCCCCCCCAGTTCTTACAAATCCCTCTCCATATAGACAGTATTGAAACAAAAACCGAACTTCCTACTGACAACGGTCATCTCGAATGTTTACATATGTCGTACGGACTTAAAAACGCACTGACTAAGTACATTTTGAAGAAATAAAACATTGCAAAATAGATCCTTATTGATGACCACTACAAACGATAAGGAATGCAAATACGGTTCCGGTTCTAACATAATCGACTATGATAAAATTGTCATCATAAATCAAGAAATATACGGAAATAAAGAAATTGAAGCCATCAGGAGTGAAGAAATTCAATTTGGAAAAAGGACCCCGAAAGAAAAATTGCTTAAACATTCGAATGATCCCACCTGTAGTTTTAATTGGATTATATTGCATTCTAATAACACTAATTAATGACATTTTTAATTATTAATAGTGGTTAATATGAAAATTGATTTTCAATTTTCCATCCACTACAAACTATCTGAGGTTAATGAGGGAAAATTTTTGTTGCTGTTGTCACACCCCCCGTGAGAGTTTGTAGTGGATGGAAAAATTTTGACATAAATATTACTGATTGATGAATTCCATGGAATGGTATAGATTAAAATACTAAATTTAAATGCAAAACTATTAAGTATATTTACAATATATTACACAGTACATTGGATTGTAATTATTAGTTTCCAGAACTTCACTCTAATTGTACAATTTGATTTCAAATATTTACATTACAAGACAGTTACAGAAATATTACATATTTCATTCATTTTCGATCATATCTTACCGCCTTACCCAATGGGTACATACCGGTAGTTGTATCCTTAAATTATAAATATAAATAAGTACCTTTTGGTATAAACTATATGTTACAGACGATGCAAAATCACAGAAAAATAAATTAATGATAGGGTCAGCTACTTGTAGTTGTGTGTTTCAAATCGTCATCGCTGCTAATAGCTGTTTGTGCTTCAATTGTTGTGCTAGAATCGGGGTGGATTTCTCGCAAATGCCGCGATTTTAAATGTCTTTCAAGGTCACGTCTTCGAACTAAAACTTTTCCGCAAAGTTCACATCTAAAATTATAAATATTAAACTTCAGTTCCGTTTAACAGTAAAATGTGATCATTTTATTCTTCACCAACTTTCTATTTTCCGATTGAATATAAACTTTGAAAAGTATTTATGATTTTGATGAACGTATAAAATAAATACTAAAAATGAACAAATAAAAGCAAGGCAGTGTTATTTATTTATGTATATACACTAAATTTAATGGATTAACTGCTTGGTTTCTGCTAAGAAGGGGTACATACATTTGAGTTTTTATCGTAAATATATGTATAAGTCTAATGCAAAATTTTCAATTAAATACAATAGTTTTGCTTGAACATTTCTTTTTTTATTTATTTAATACTGAATGATTTTAATTTTAACTCTTTAACGCTCTAACTAACAATAGTTAATGGTATAATATGTATTTGACAAATGTATTAACTAGGTTTAAATTTAAATTAATTACCATTTAGCATTAGCATTTATTTGCTTTCCCAAAGGCAAGTTGGAAATTTCGTACTTAAATAATAAACCCCCAAAGACAAATCACTGCAAAAATTTCAATCTCAAGAAAAAAGCCTCAACTTGCTACAGATTAATAATCAAAAGATTCTACCATTATTATAAAATGACCAATTACATGTCACTTCCTCCCTCCATATCAAATTGAAATTTTAGTAGGAAAAAAGCGAATATAAAGATAGGGGACGAAAAATTAGAGGTGGCTGATTTTATGTATCTAGGAAATTAGATAAGTCAGGACGGAAGAAGTAGTAGGGATATAAAGCAGAGGTCAGCGCAGGGTCGTGTCGCCTTTAATAAAAAGAAGTCACTTCTATGCTCGCGAACGGTTAATTTAGAAATTCGAAAAAGGTTGTTAAAGGTGTATGTTTGGAGCACGGCGTTGTACGGGTG